GTCGTCTACTGGTCTTCCGTTACAGCCTGGCTCACCGCTGCCTGCTCCCTCTCCTTACACTGAGCAGACAGGTAGTCTTGCTGAGCGTCGTGAGCCTGCGTCGCGTCCTGTCTCGCCTGTTCGTCCTTGTCGTCCCGTTCGTCGTGTTCCTCGTCAGCGTCAGCCGGCTGTCCCCGGCACACCCCTTGTAGCCCTGCGTCGGTCCTCCCCTCCGGAGCGTACTCCTCTTCCGTCTCCCCCTGCGTCCTCTTTGCCTGACGTCGCGGATCCTGAGTCTGACCGGTTTCGTGCTGAGCACCCTACTGTCACGCGTCTTCTAGCCACTGTTGTCACTGACCCGTCGTTTGAGTCTGCTGCTGCGTCTGCCCTAGTTGCTGAGCTTGTTGACTTTGCTGCTGCCTGTCGTCTAGACTTCGCTGCCAGTCTTGTTGCTGAGTCTGAGTCTGTCTGTCCTCCGTCCGTCGGGGGTGAGTGTGCTCTTAGCACGGACGTCCTTGAGGACAGGCACGAGGACCTTGAGTGTCTTGCAGCCGCTGCGCCTCATCTCGTGGCCATGCTGCTTGCCCCTGAGGGAGACCCGGATGCACCAGACATCCCGACCCCGCGCTCTTACGCTGAGGCGATCGCGGGTGAGTACTCCTCTCAGTGGCAGACAGCCATGGACGCAGAGATGGCATCCTGGAAGTCCACGGGCACTTACGTCGATGAGGTTCCCCCTCCTGGGGCGAACATCGTCGATGGCATGTGGATTTTCAGGGTGAAGCGGCCGCCAGGTTCTCCGCCTGTCTTCAAGGCTCGTTACGTTGCTCGAGGCTTCAGTCAGCGAGAGGGAGTTGACTTCTTCCAGACCTTCTCCCCCACCCCGAAGATGACCACTCTTCGGGTACTGCTACACGTTGCCGCTCAGCGTGACTACGAGCTTCACTCTCTTGACTTCAGCACAGCCTTCTTACAGGGCAGCCTGCACGAGGAGATCTGGCTGCGCCGCCCACCTGGCTTCACTGGGTCTTTCCCTCCTGGTACCCAGTGGAGCCTCCGGCGGCCAGTCTACGGTCTCCGCCAGGCACCTCGTGAGTGGCACGACACAGTGAGGACTACACTTGCGGCTCTTGGGTTCGCTCCTTCCACTGCTGACCCGTCGCTGTTTCTGCGCACCGACACTTCCCTGCCGACGTCTGCATCCTCGTGCACGTCGACGACCTGGTCTTTGCCACTGCTGACACTGAGGCTCTCGCTCAGGTGAAGTCGGAGCTGCAGAAGAGACACACGTGCACAGACCTGGGTGAGCTGCGCAGCTACCTTGGCTTGCAGATCACCCGGGACAGAGCACGACGCACCATCACCCTGACTCAGTCACACATGGTGCAGCAGGTCCTTCAGCGCTTCGGCTTCTCCTGGTCCTCCCCACAGCACACTCCTCTGGCTACAGGTCACTCGCTCTCAGCTCCACCTTCGGACGAGTCCATAGAGCCGAGTGGTCCTTACCCAGAGTTAGTTGGCTGCCTCATGTACCTGATGACTTGCACTCGTCCTGACCTCGCGTACCCTCTTGGCCTCCTGGCTCGCTACGTGGCTCCTGGTCGGCACCGACCTGAGCACATGGCTGCTGCTAAGAGGGTACTGCGCTACTTGTGCAGTACATCAGGCATGGGGCTAGTGCTTGGAGGACGGAGCGACGTGGTCCTCACTGGGCACTCAGACGCGTCTTGGGTTGACGACCAGACTACACAGCGGTCGTCACAGGGTTACACCTTCAGCCTTGGCTCTGGCTCTGTTTCGTGGCGGTCTACACGCTCGTCTTCTGTTCTCAGCTCCAGTTGTGAGGCTGAGATCTACGCCACCGCCATGGCTGCACAGGAGTTACGCTGGCTCACCTACCTGCTGACTGACTTGGGTGAGCGGCCTCGTTCTCCTCCAGTGCTGTACGTTGACAACAAGGCGGCCATTGCCTTGTGTGAGGAGCACAGACTGGAGAACAGAACGAAGCACATCGCTCTGCGTTACTTCCTGGCTCGAGAGTTGCAGCAGCGAGGTCAGCTTCGTCTTCGTCACGTGGCCACTCGGGCCAACACTGCTGATATATTCACCAAGGCACTTCCGTCTGGTGATCATCAGCGCTTTTGTACCCTGTTAGGCCTTGTGCCTACGTTTCCACACTTGCTGTAGTCTTTGGTTGTACTGTGATCTATATATATATATATATGTTCTGCATGCTTGCCCTTGCTAGGTAGTGATCACTGCTCTATTGTTGTTGCATATATATATACCTCTGCATGTGAACTGGCCTTGTGGCCCTTTGCTTGTGCTCAGAGAGTGTGGTGACGTTGTGATCCACCCTGAGCTTGCTTTGCTTCTCTTGACTGGTCGTGTGACCCTTGTTCTCCCCCACTTTGCCTATGGGGGTGTGTCAAACATATATGCTGCTTATTGTGTAGGCTGTAGTGGGGTAGCCCATATGGGGTACAACCCAAATTAGGGTTTACTACTTGTACTCCTGCATCCTGCTAGTGCATTCATTCCTGCTGCTAGATTCTAACAGGGCGCAGCAAGCAGTGCGGTACGTGATGAAAAGGAAGGGATGTAACAGGACGGGCATGGCGCGGCGGGAACGGCAGGCGCGGTTCGACCGGACGGGCAGGGTGCAGGGCCCGACGGGCAGGGCGCAACCGGTGCGGACGGGCAGGGCGCAACGGGTGCGAGCAAGGCGCAACGGGCGCGGACAGGCAGGGCGCAGGGCGCGACGAGTAGGGCGCAACGAGCGTGACGAGCAGGGCGCAATAGGCGCGGACGGGAAGGGCGCAGGGCGCGACGGGCGGGGACGGGACGGGGCGGGACAAGAAGGGCGCGACGCAGCGGGTAGGAGCGACGCGACAGGACAGGTCCGGCAGGCCCGACGTGACGGTACGGGACGGGCCGGCGCGACACAATGGGATGGGACAGACGGGCGCGACACGATTGGCAGGCGCGACATGACGGGACGGGACGGGCAAGCGCAACACGACGCGACGGGATATACGGGCACTAGGGAACGAGACGGACTCGCGCAACATGCGCTAGGGAACGAGACGGTACAGGCGCAACAGGCGCTAAGGTACGGGACGGGCTCGACGATAGGGCGCTAGGAATGGGAGTCCACAGGATCCTAACCTATGTGATACCATGTCAGAAACCTAATGATGGTTGACCATTGTGGGTCGGGGTACATAAACCTAATCGTAACTGCTGTACCCTATAAGACACGCATCACTAAAGCCTTTCGGAACATATTATGTATGGCTCGTTAGACGTCGTATACTGTATTGGACTGTGCGATATAGCCGTGACAAGCTTGATGGTGGTAGAAGTCAGTGTTGGAAGGCCATGTTTGCATCAGCAAATACACCTTTTTTTTTCAGAGAAACTTGAGCTTGTGACAACTAGAGGACTTCATAGGAATTACACAAGCGTGAATTCACTAACTTGACAAAACGTTTCAGCTAGTCTTTCATTCTTCCAGATCCTTGATGACGGTAATCTGCAAGCGCATATGTCAATAGCACAATTTCTTATTCAATTCTCCGCCTGCATCCGCTTGCCCTGCCCAGACCCGCTCAACCCTCCCCATTCCCCTTTGAATTCCCCGCCCCACCTTCCCTCCATCGCAGGCACAGGCGCTGCGCAGCCCCTCAACTCAACCAGTCCGTTCCTGCCTCCTACTGCCCACGATTCAAGGTCACATTCGTGGCGATTCGAGCCGTGACGGAGAACACCCAATCAGGTGTAGCTGGGCCTCCGACTTGTCCTCCATTCCCTCACCCCACCCCACACAAGCAACACCCACTCTCCCCCAGCACCACTACGAACCTTCCACCACCCACCAGCACCCCACATCACCACACACACCAGGCGACATGTCTGAGAAAGCCTTCAGCCACCAGCAGCCTTGCGGTCAGAACTGGAGCGAAGGGGATTTGTGATTGTTGTGTGAGTCACCAGCGAGACAGTGACACTGATCTTTGGCGTCTGTGTGGCCAGGCACAACCGTCCCCAGGACCAGCCCTGCGCAGGTCACGCCGCCACAGACATGCACCTACGCCAATTTTCTGGGCCTCGTGTCGTGTGTGGCCGTCCTTGGGACCTGCGAGGAAGGGAGGGGACGGAACGAAAGCCACCAGGCCCTAGCGGTTGAAGCTGGACGGACCCGCCTCGGATCCCTTGCGTGCTCGCTTCTTCTCATGCCACGTCATCTGTATCCGCCAGGCGTGTCATCCTCACGTGTGAGGAGATATTTATTCCGACCACTCGACTTGGTTCGACCTAGCGCAGACCGGTAGTGGGCCATGGCCGGCGATTTTGCTGAGTGGCCTCAAATGCTTGAGTGCGTGAATGGGTTCCCCCCTTTTTTTACAATTCCGGCTACTAAAAGGCGCTCCTTACGGATTACGTACGACTCGTTAGGCGTTAACTGGACGTCGCGTTACAGGTGTACAGGCACGTACGCTGCGTTGAAGCCCGGCGTTTCTCAAAAGGGGGAACTTTTCCTCTGCTTAACACTGTGGTGCCTACCAACTGCGAGGAACGAGCTGAAGTAGCTGCAGCGCCATTGTTAGCGCATTGGTCCCGTCGCCATCTTCAGTGTCTTAGTCCCTTAATAAGTTCTCTTGTCGCAGCTGGCGCTATCCCACCGCACCTCACTCACGACTCTTGATGCTGATATTCGCCTCTAAAAGAGGTGTCACTGCTTGACCCCATCAAGCGACTCAAACCGGGCTTTGAGAATAGAAGACTTTTTCTTGTTACGAGCCTTGCTCTCACGTCCGGTGTTCTCGCAACTGCAGCCTGAGATCTCCACGTCAGCAGTGCTCTCAGCGCTCTGCTGCGACTAGTTCCCGGGCTTGACTAGAAAACTGCGGCAGCCTCCTGCGAGTGGTTCCCGCGGCGCCTGCTTGAAACACCGCGACAACGCAGCGATGGTGGAAGAATCGCAGCAGCCAGACTCCGGGCCGCAGCCCAGAACGATCATGGTAGCCGTTAACGGGAGCGACGCGAGCGACGCGGCTCTTCTGTTCGTCCTCAAGTCGATACTCTCAGATCAAGACAAATTGATCGTAATACATGTCAGACCTACAGGTATGCCCTTGTGCTCTGCATGTACCCCTTTCTTTTGTGCTCCTTATGCTGCCGCTTTCCGTTGGCTTCCTCGCTTGCACTTACTGCATTCATATCCCCAACCCGTCTCGCATTTCTCGCCAGATAAGGACCTTACATCGCTCTACAGTGGCTTCGCGGATCCAGCGGCGGAGATCAAGTCCCACCACGCGTTTATCCGCGATACAATCAACGTCGCCGCAAAGACCATACACTCTCTGGGTTTCCCCGCGGCGCGCGTCAAGGTGGAGGAGGGCGATCCGAGGAAGGTTATTCCCAAGGTCGCCGAGGCAGAGCGGGCTGATTTACTCGTTCTCGGCTCACAGGGGAAACGAACATTACATGTAAGTACCTGCTCTTCAACCGTACTCATTTGAGACTCACCATGTTGCTCGCTGAGGGGTTTTGTGATTATTTTCCACTCATGCGTCAGCGTGGATGCCATTTTAAAACGCTAATGTGCAAGAACCGTGCCAAAGCGTAGAGCTTGCCAAGTGAAGGGCGTGTCGTGGTGAATGCTAATCTATCCCAAGACGCATGAATGTCTAGGCCATATTCACGTCAATCGTTCTCAAACAACGCACTTATTCTTCCCTGCCTCTTCCTCTATCCCCCACTTCCGTTAATGCCCTACTTCTTCCAGTACATGCTGGCTGGCGATGTGGCATCGCATTGTGCCAAAAAGTGCAGTTGCGCAGTTATCACTTACAAATCAATCAATGGAGGGTCAGTGGCGTTCAGTAAACGAGCAGTGCAGGAGCAGAAGCGTCTAGGGATCTCGCTTTCTCAGTTTACAAGGGAGGCTGATGATGCTGATGCTGAGGGAGCCGCTGCTTGAGCGGATAAGTTGAAGGCATTCCATGCGAATGATGAAGTTGATCAAGTATGCCAGAAAGCCATCACGAAGAAAGTAGGGATCTCATGCAGGCTCACCTCGTCACATGTGAATATCACTGAATGTTGTACTATACTGAATGTAAGAAATTCGGGCTGTATCTAAATGCAACCCAAGATGTGCAGTCGAGACAGTAACGAGTTGTGACAGTTTCGGGTTTAGTGCCTGTCACAACTCGTTACTCTCACAGCAGGGTTTTGCCCACCTGGACCTCTGTTGTGCTTTTTGCCATCGCAGCCCTTGAGATCCGCCGCTTTTGTCAGGGTCACCACGAAAACGTCCCTGTAAAACCAGAAATGTGTAATAAATCTGTGCCGCACGAATTTATATCAGTAGTTGAAAATCTGCCAGGGCGGGAAACGGGACAGTATTGTTTTATACACCCAACATCTGGCGCCATGAACAAGGCCTGAAAATGGTCAGGATGCCTGAGCAATAGACCGCTGTGCTGAATCTAGAAGGGGGCCCTCGCTGATGTCCAAACTTGAGAGGCACAGAGACGCTGAGGTCCGGGAATGCTGGGTACGCGCCCCGTCTCCATACCTCCTGCCCACACCACCTGCCCAACAGCGCACCTTGCTGAACCGCAGACGAAACCCCCATTTTTCCGTAACAACCGCGTTCCTTATTGGTTGACTGAACCGCATGCAAAACCCCTCCCTCCCGCCACCATCCCACCTGACCTTGCAGCTAGCTGCCAACAACAGGTATTGATGCAACCACCTGCACCTTTCTCAACCGCAACCGCGCTCTCGACAACCGTCGATTATCACCCCCGCAGATTCCTCTGCATCCGTTGATTCCAGGAACACCAATCTAGCCTTTTCCACCGCACACGAAACCCCTTCTCTTCCCCAACCACCGGCTTTCACCTTCTCTCACCCGTCACTAGCAGAAGCAGTGTCAAACCTGTCCGAAACCCCTTCTCTTCCGCCATTACCGAGGTTCACCTTCAACCTCTTCTTTCTGACAGATCTAGCATCCACCTTTCTGAACCGTGTAGGAGAACCTTGCCCTTGCCACTACCGAGTTCCACCTTCTCGTCTCCGCCTTGTGGTAATTAACCACTTGGTACCGTTTCTAGAAACTTCCTGCCAACGTAAGCCGTTTGGTACCACAATATAACCTCCTTACATTCATAATCCATGGCGCTTCAGCCTCACGCAAACGAAGGGTTTCAGCCGCCCAACGACGCGCTTGAGGCGCAAGTTGCTAACGAGGCGCTGCAGCCGCACCAAGCTAACGTCGACGGCTCGCTAACCCTATCGCTAAATCCCGTGCCCAAGGCCGAAAAGTCAAAGGTCCTAAATGGAGCAGCAGCGGAGCGCTACAAGCTCCCCATGGTCGTCAATTCTCTCCCTTCCGATCAATCCACGGACTCCGTTCCGGGAAAGCGGCGACCGAATCTCGTGACCGGGCTTCACGGCGTGAAGGTCCTGTACGGCCGGTTTCAAAGCTCCATCGATTTTGACGGCCAGCGGCACACGCTGGGGACGTGGGACGACCCGATGGAGGCTGCGAAGGGATACGCCGCCGCGGCATATATGATTGTCCACCTGGGCGTGCGCGCCGTGTCGGCTATCCTGACGGAGGAGGAGCAGGCGTGCTTGAAGCGAATGTCGCACGACGACTTTATAACGATTCTGAAGTTCCCCGGCGCGTGGAAGCAGTGGCAGCGGTGGGAGGAGCTCATGCCGCGGTGGCGCGCGCACTACGAGAACCTCGCGCGCAAGCACGGGGAGATGGACACCGTGCGCATCGGGCGGAAGAAGCGCAAGGGGAAGGAGCAAGCGATCGCGCCCGTGGGGAAATTCACAGCCGCCGCCGCGATGAACGGCCTGCAGACGCCTATGTTCGCCCTGGACCCAGCCATGCACGTGGAGCAGGGGATGGGCGGGGAGGCGGTTGGGGTAGGGGGGGGTGTAGTGGGAGGGGTGGGAGCAATGGGAGGGGTGGGAGGGATGGGTGGGGTTGGAGGGGGAGAAGTTGCAGGGGTGGGAGGAATGGGTGCGGTTGGGGAGCCAGGAGTGCTGGAGAATGGGTATGCTGGAGGGGAAGGGGAAGAGGAGACAGGTAGCAGCATTGAGGGAGGGCAAGCTTCAAGGAAGAGGGCGAGAGGAAGAGTGTGATATTTTCATTGGGAGGATATCGTGTGGGAAGGAGTAGGAAGGAACGCCAAGGAGGTTGGCAGTAGGGGAAATTGTGGATACAGGGGGATGCCTGCTTAGGTACTTGCTGCGAATGACAGAAGAGAGAGGGTGGAGGGATTGCAGTGAGGCCGAACTTGATATGTACCACTACCTAATACTCTGTTCTTTTTTGTTTAGCACATAAATCTAGGATAGTACAAGTGATTGCAGTATTATATGTGATGCTAATCCACCAAGATGGTTTGCTTGTTTGCTTGTATTGACGTTGGTAGTGGTTATGGTTTTTGATTCGTGTTTCTCATTTTATTGGCAGAAACTAGCTAGTTCTCTTTTTCGGGATCCTTCCTAACGATAACAGCGGGAACTGTTTGGCCGACACATGCTCGGATGCACCAATAGCATCGACCCAGCCGGTACTGTCACATTGGAATTCAACCTATCGGGCGAGCTGGGCGGCACAGCACACCAGAGACTGAAGAATGGCTGCCTGCCAGTGCCAACAATGTTTCCCGCCAGAACACTCTCCAGGATTATGCAACCGTAGTTTGTTGTGAGACACTACTCAGGGAACTTCCCTGTGAAAACAGGCGAAACCGAGGTGGAGATAGAGAGAATAACGATGTGAGAAGCTTATTCGTTCATAGTCAGCAGCATTGAGTGCCGCGCCTGCATTGAGTGCATAATGAGGTACTCAAGGTAGTAGCAGCAACTCTACGTGAGTCACTGGTTCTCTTCCGACACATTTCAGCAATGTCGCACGTAGTAGCAACAGATTAGAGTTAATACGAGCTAGGGGAGAAAGAGTACCGACTTTCCGGCCGCGGTCAGCAGATCTTCAACGCATTGACGGCTCTAGTCGTTCACCCACTATGGCCGAAGCAAGCCAATCGCATGGCTTCGCCAAGGGTCGCTGGCTCGCTCTCATCGGCTCTATGTGGTTACTCGCGTGCGCGGGTAACAGTTACAACTTCGCCATATACTCGCCGACCATAAAGGCACGTCGCAATGCCGCTACTGCTGCAAAACTCTCCAGCCGCATACGACTGTCCGCTACTGGGTGTCCTTCTCCCCGCATTCTGCCTATGGCAGGCTATCATTCCCCCACGTATCTTTCCTGGCTGGACAGCAGGTGCTGTCTAGTATCAAGTGTGGTACCGCTGGCTAGTAGCAGCCTGGGTGCGGAACCACACTTGCACTACTGAGCGCACAGAATGATCGTGAGACTGCTGCTGTTTGCCTTCTCCCATGCGTGCATGCAGCAAGCTCTGGGGTCCAACCAGCAGGCATTGACGACGCTGGGCGTGGCATAAGCGTGTCCTGTCACATAAAACGTAACCATTTTTCCATTGCCTGTTCTCATGTGCGCGTGCAGGAGGTCCTGGGATACAATCAGCAGGCCGTGACGACACTGGGAGCTGCCAAGGAAGTGGAATACGTGTGCTTTAAGACGCCATCACGCAGCTTATGTCCCCTTCTCTGCAAGTCTTTCATCCATGCGCGCAGGAAGTGCTGGGGTATAACCAGCACGACGTGACAACGCTGGGAGTGGCCAAGGACGTGGCATGAGCGTGCTGTGAGATGCCTTCTCTCCGTGTGACATGAGCCATAGCCTGCTGCTCTTTCTCTGTCCTTTGCCTGCTCCCATCAACGCGTGCAGGAAGTGCTGGGGTACAATCAGCAGGACGTGACGACGCTGGGAGTGGCCAAGGACGTGGGCGACAACGTGGGGCTGCTGGCAGGGCTGCTCGCTGACATGGTGCCGCCATGGCTCGTCATTGCTGTCGGCACACTGCTGGTCCGTTCACTATAGTGTTGACGCGCAAGAGTCTGCTGGACATTGACAATGTGATTGGCACTGATTATTATGTTGACAACGACACCAGCATTGACATTGACATTGACATTGACATTGACAATGGCACTGACACTGACACTGACACTGACACTGACACTGACACTGACAGTGTATTGATATTGACATTGTCATTGAGATTGGCACTGACACTGGCATTGACATTGTATTTATAATAGCATTTGCATTTACATTGGCATTGACATTGACATTGGCATTGGTATTGGTATTGATATTGCCATTTACATTGACATTCACATTCGCCACGACCATATTATTGCCATCTGTCATCACCACTCCCACTGACAATGGCATAGCTATACAGCCATAGTCGTAACCATTGCCACTGTTTCCCACTGCCTTAGTGATTACCATCGCCAGTGGCACTGGCAAGGTAAGTCCATCCCGTTCAAGTGCTCCCTGGGCCTCCATACCGCCTCATCGCCCTCTCTCTCTCTGGCAGTGATCTCCAGGCTTCGTCTCATCTGTGTGGTCCGTGCCTGCTCACCTGTGTCCATGACACATTTGCCTCTTTCCTCCCTCCGCGCCTCTCTGCGTGCCTCCAGACGCCTGTGCTCATCCTACCTCGTGTGCCCATCTCTGCCCTGTGTGATCCCCCTTCCCGCCGTGTGACCCCTCTCTCCTCGCCGTGCAGGGCTTTGTGGGGTACGGCGGCCTGTGGCTTGTGCTCAGTCAACGGATAGCTGCACCGCCCTTCTGGCAGGTCAGTTACCCTATGGCCTTTGCCATCTTCTCAAGGGAGGGTGCCAGCTCATCAATGTCATATGTCACTGCACGGCACGACTGCCTGATGGTTCTCCTGTGCAGTTGTAACCCATTGAGTATTCATACCAGCACCAGGGGTGCAGTGCTCTCCCGCGTTTGCCACCCTTCCTTGCTCCAATTCTGTCCGTCTCATGACTCATCCCTTCATGCCTCATTGCCCCTGCACAGCGCAAAGTGCTGCACTGCTTCGTGCCCTGCACTGCCTTGTTTTATGTGCATCAACCATACTGGTCGTCCGTTCCTCCTTCAAGAGCTCAACAAAAAATCATTCTCGCATCTGTTTCGTGGGTTTGCACGACATATTACGCTGCTCTCCCTGCCCCTGCAGGTGTGGTGTCTGCTGTGCTGCGCCACCAACGGGTCCATCTTCTTTATCACAGCCGGCCTCGTCTAAACTCAGCTCAACTTCCCATTCCCCCTTGCCGCATAACGCACTCAAACGCACTGCACTGCACCCCATCGAACTCCACCGCACCGCCCGCCCCTGCAGGTGTGGTGTCTGCTGTGCTGCGCCACCAACGGGTCCATCTACTTCATCACAGCCGGCCTTGTCTCCTCTCAGCTCAACTTCCCGCACTCAGGGGGCGTGGTGGCCGGTATTGTCGTCGGCTTCATCGGCCTCTCAGGCGCCATCTTTGCACAGGTGATGCTGAAAAGGGTCATAAGGCCGAGAGGATGTAGGCGAGCAGTGGGGATGTAGGCGAGCAGTGGGGATGTAGGCGAGCAGTGGGGATGTAGGCGAGCAGTGGGGATGTAGGCGAGCAGTGGGGATGTAGGCGAGCAGTGGGGATGTAGGCGAGCAGTGGGGATGTAGGCGAGCAGTGGGGATGTAGGCGAGCAGTGGGGATGTAGGCGAGCAGTGGGGATGTAGGCGAGCAGTGGGGATGTAGGCGAGCAGTGGGGATGTAGGCGAGCAGTGGGGATGTAGGCGAGCAGTGGGGATGTAGGCGAGCAGTGGGGATGTAGGCGAGCAGTGGGGATGTAGGCGAGCAGTGGGGATGTAGGCGAGCAGTGGGGATGTAGGCGAGCAGTGGGGATGTAGGCGAGCAGTGGGGATGTAGGCGAGCAGTGGGGATGTAGGCGAGCAGTGGGGATGTAGGCGAGCAGTGGGGATGTAGGCGAGCAGTGGGGATGTAGGCGAGCAGTGGGGATGTAGGCGAGCAGTGGGGATGTAGGCGAGCAGTGGGGATGTAGGCGAGCAGTGGGGATGTAGGCGAGCAGTGGGGATGTAGGCGAGCAGTGGGGATGTAGGCGAGCAGTGGGGATGTAGGCGAGCAGTGGGGATGTAGGCGAGCAGTGGGGATGTAGGCGAGCAGTGGGGATGTAGGCGAGCAGTGGGGATGTAGGCGAGCAGTGGGGATGTAGGCGAGCAGTGGGGATGTAGGCGAGCAGTGGGGATGTAGGCGAGCAGTGGGGATGTAGGCGAGCAGTGGGGATGTAGGCGAGCAGTGGGGATGTAGGCGAGCAGTGGGGATGTAGGCGAGCAGTGGGGATGTAGGCGAGCAGTGGGGATGTAGGCGAGCAGTGGGGATGTAGGCGAGCAGTGGGGATGTAGGCGAGCAGTGGGGATGTAGGCGAGCAGTGGGGATGTAGGCGAGCAGTGGGGATGTAGGCGAGCAGTGGGGATGTAGGCGAGCAGTGGGGATGTAGGCGAGCAGTGGGGATGTAGGCGAGCAGTGGGGATGTAGGCGAGCAGTGGGGATGTAGGCGAGCAGTGGGGATGTAGGCGAGCAGTGGGGATGTAGGCAGGGAGAAAAGGGAGAAAAAGGGGGCTCCCAGTTCCTGCCGAATCAGAGTCTCTCGTCCAGAAGTCGCCTCTCCTACCTTCCCTCCCAAACATGCCCACGCCTCCCTCTCCCTCCCTCGTCCTCCCTCGTCCCTCCTCGCCCCTCCCACCCAGATATACTCCGCTCTGCTCGCACCCAACCCGCCGGCCTTTCTGCTGCTGGCGTGCATTGGCCCCGCTGCTGTCGGCATCCTCAGCCTCTTCATCGTCCGCCTCTTCCCTCCCCGTATGTCCTCTTTCCTCCCCGCCCCCCTCCTCCCCTCTTTCGCCCTCCTCCCCCTGCCCCTTTCTGCCTCTCCTTCCCCTCTCTCCACCAATGTCTTTCAAGCAACATGAACACTCTATGAACCGCCTCTCCCCTCTCCAGTTGCTTCTGCAAGACATGACACTCGCGCTGCTTGTCTTGACAACCTGCTCTCTTTCCTCCCTACGTGACTCCCTATGCTCTCTCGTCTTCCCATATGGCCCTTTCCCTCCCTGCCCCCGAGCTCTCCCCCCCCCCACCCCAACCCCCTAGTTTGCAGCAGAGGAGGCCGTGAGCTTCTCGCTCATTTTGCGCCTCTGCCTGCTGCTCGCTGCCTTCCTCCCTGACCTCCGCTCTTTCTTTCCTACCCCTTCCCTTCGCCTTTCCCCACTGTTCCCCACTTTCCTCCCTGGCCCCCCAGCCCCCCGCACCCCCAAAGTAGCAGCAGAGGAGAGCGCGGGCTTCTCTCTCATCCTGCGCCTCTGCATGCTGCTCGCCGCCTTCCTCCTCCTCGTCATCACCTCCCAGGCCTTCACCACCTTCTCACCGCACACCACCACTGCCATTACCATCACCATGCTCCTCCTGCTCCTCGCCCCTGCTTCCGTGCTCCTCCCCTCCCGCTCTCCCTCGCCTTCCACTGCCATTCGCTCGTCCTCTTCTCCCTCTCTCTCGCATCCACACGCCCACGACTCCACTGATCTTTCCCGGCCGTTGCTCCAATCGACTTCAGCCACGTCAGCAGCAGCAGGCGCTCCAGGTAGTGCTAGCCCTGGAGCTAGCGTGCGTCCACCAATCAGGGAAGGGGAAACTCTCCATGCCACCAGTACTCTCCCCCCATCCTCCCCCCCACCCCTTTCACCTCACCGGTCCACCTTATCCCCTCTCAGCCGAGGAGGAGGAGGAGGAGGAGGAGGAGGAGGAGGAGGAGGAGGAGGAGGAGGAGGAGGAGGAGGAGGAGGAGGAGGAGGAGGAGGAGGAGGAGGGGGAGGAAGAGAGATTGAGCGGTGCAGGAGCCATTTCATTTGTCAGCCCTAACAGGTCCGGTGACCCGCCGAAGCTAGGCCTCAGCAGCAGCATCACCGCAGCTGCCCATGCCAGCAGCTTCAACTCCCGTAGTAGTGTAGGCTCGGCAACCCTCGCGCACCTGCTCCTGGGCACGTCTCCTGACTCCCGAACCAACCAAAGCGGAGGTACGGGGAGCCAGCCCAGGTCCGGTATACTCAATATAAGCAGTCCCTTAGGTGGTGGAAGGACGCACAGTATATCCAGCAGTAGTAGTCTGCACAGTCCTGGAAGATTGAAGGGGAGGCAAGAGGGGGAGCAAGAGACCGGAGAGGAAGGGAAAGAGGAAAATGTGGGAGAGGAGGGGAGGAGGGGAAGGCATGTGGTAGGGAAACGAGCAGGAGGAGCAGGAGGGGCAGGAGGAGGAGGAGAAGGGGCAGGAGGAAGCAGCTCTACTCCTGACCATGGCTCTCGGACCAATTGGATGCCGCCACGTGGCAGCCAGAAGAGCCTCAGCAGCCTGACGGAGGATGGTGACGTGGCAGGGGCGGCAAGTGTGGGTGGTGGGGAGGGGGAGGGTGGGGAGGACGATTGGAGCTACTACTTTGGGGAAGAGGAGACGTCTGTTCACGGTAAGAATCAATCGAGAGTCACAGGAATTACCTCTCCTAAAGGAGGATACCACAGGGGCGGAGATGTTAACGAGGAAGACTCTGAAGGGGATGAGCACGAGGATGGGGAGGAGGAGGGAGAGGATGAGGAGGAGGGGGAGGAAGAGGGGGACATGGCAGGAACAGCAGCGGCGGCGAGGGGGGAGGTGTATCTGGGGGAGGACCATTCGTTCAGGCAGGCGCTATCGACGGTGGAGTTCTGGCTGCTGTACGGGGGGCTGGTGTGTGGCTTTGGCGCGGGGCTGACGGCCATCACGAACCTGGCTCAGATAGGCGAGGCACAGGGGTACGGCAACGCACAGGTGCTCACGTCGCTCGTCAGCATCTGGCAGTTCCTTGGCCGGCTCGCCAGTGGGTCGCTCTCAGAGCACTTTGTCAGGTGGGTTTGTGAGGTTCAATGAGGGGGTTTGACGCGAGAATGGGCGGTGTGGTGGGATGATGGGAAGGGAGGAATGAGGGAGTGACCCTTTTCCTGTTCTGACTGAGCCGCGGCCCTGTGAACCCCAGCTTGCACCTCTTCCCTCTCCTTCCAACCTTTCCCCTCCTTCTTTCCCTTTCCCTACAGAACCCATGGCATGCCACGCGCCATGGCCTTAGCAGCCATCCAGCTCCTCATGGCCGTGGAGCACCTTGCCTGCGCCTCCTACCCTCACACCACACTCAAGCGCCCCTCTCCTTCCCCCCTACAGGGCCCACGGCATGCCACGTCCCATGGCTCTGGCAGCTATCCAGCTGCTCATGGCAGTGGGGCACATGACCTTCGCCTCCCTACCCTGATCATCCCCTCTCCCACTTCCCACTCCTTCCCTCTTCCCCCTCAGAGCCTACGGCATACCACAACCGATGGCCTTAGCAGCCATTCAACTCCTCATGGCAGTGGGTCGCCTTGCCTTCGCTCTCACCCCACCAGGCGGTGTGTACCTAGGCTCTCTCATCATAGGCTTCACTTACGGCGGGCTGTGTGCTGTCATGCCTGTCCTCGCAAGCCCTTCTCGGCCCCCTTTCCTCACTCCATTCACAAACAACCCCCCCCCCCCCCCCCCTTCCCCTCAGAGCCTACGGCATACCACGACCCATGGCCCTGGCGGCCATTCAGCTACTGATGGCAGTGGGGCATCTGGCCTTCGCCCTCGCCCCGCCAGGCGGAGTGTACCTGGGATCGCTACTCATAGGCTTCACCTACGGCGGGCTGTGTTCGGTCATGCCTGTCATCGCAGCAGAGCTTTTCGGCCGCCGCTGCCTTGGTCTTCTCTACAACTCGCTCCTTGCTGCTGCTCCCCTCGGCTCCTATTTATTCTCAGGTATACCCTTCCCGGCATCTCTATCTAAGCTCGCTGGTAATAGGCTTCACGTACGGCGGGCTGTGCTCTGTCATGCCTGTCATTGCCGCCGAGCTCCTCGGCCGTCGCTGCCTCGGCCTGCTTTACAACTCCCTGCTCGCCGCTGTTCCCCTCGGCTCCTATCTCTTCTCAGGTAGGCTCTGTGTCTCTGTCTGGGCTCGCTGATCGTAGGCCTCATCTATGGGCGCTGCTGCTGCCAAGCCATGCCACTCATTGCTCTGAAGCCCCCTGGCTGCCCCTGCCTCGGTCTGCTCTACAACTCCCTGCTCGCCTGTCCATCGCCTGAACACTCGTCCCTATCTCAGGAGCGCTGCCGGGCTATCTCTACGGGATAGACGCGTGGACAAAAGTTTTGAGCTGGCTAAAAAAACCGCCTGTCTTTTTCCTGTCTTTCTGATTTTCCCTTCTCCCAGGAGTGCTGGCGGGATACCTCTATAAGATAGAGGCGTGGAAAGAGGTGACGTTGAGTCGACTCAAGAACGTGCGTGTCCATCCCATGTCAATTGCCTGTCTGTCTGCGTTTCCCTTCCCCCAGGTGTGCTGGCAGGGTACCTTTACGAGATAGAGGCGCGGAAAGACAGAGGAGTCATGGCAGGCCTAGCGGGAGCAGCATCGCTGCTAGCACCCGAGGGAGAGTGGGCATTGGAGCCAGCAGGAGGAGTGGGGCACGTGGCTGGGGGCTCTGTTGCTTTCACAGGCGTTAGAAAGACGCTCGGGTTGATGCCACCCTCTGCAACACCCACAGCAGTAGCAGCAACAGCAGCAGCAACGGGACTGGCAACGGCAGGGGCAGAGCATATTTCCCAGGGGTGGTTGGGATGGAGTTGGTTCGGGCAGGGAATGAGTGGATGGTTCAGTGCTGTTGTTGGCAGTGCAGGGGGTGGTGGGGGAGGGGATGGTCCCAAGGAGTGTCACGGGGCGCACTGCTTCCGCCTCATCTTCCTCATCCTCACTGCCGTGTGTGTGCTGGGCGCTGCTGTGAACCTAGTCGTTGCCTCGCGCACTGCTCGGGTGTATGGGCTGATGAAGCACAGTGAGGGGGAAGGAGAGGAAGCCGATGAAGGCGAGGAGAAAGATGATGGTAGGTAGGGGTCAGTGGAAGGGTTGGCACGTGTCTAGGGGTTGTTGCCAGTGGAGGGGAGGGCCCCAAGGAGTATCACGGCGCGCACTGCTTCCGCCTCATCTTCCTCATCCTCACTGCCGTGTGTGTGCTGGGCGCTGCTGTGAACCTAGTCGTTGCCTCGCGCACTGCTCGGGTGTATGGGCTGATGAAGCACAGTGAGGGGGAAGGAGAGGAAGCCGATGAAGACGAGGAGAAAGATGATGGTAGGTAGGGGTCAGTGGAAGGGTTGGCACGTGTCTGGGGGTTGTTGCCAGTGGAGGGGAGGGCCCCAAGGAGTATCACGGCGCGCACTGCTTCCGCCTCATCTTCCTCATCCTCACTGCCGTGTGTGTGCTGGGCGCTGCTGTGAACCTAGTCGTTGCCTCGCGCACTGCTCGGGTGTATGGGCTGATGAAGCACAGTGAGGGGGAAGGAGAGGAAGCCGATGAAGACGAGGAGAAAGATGATGGTAGGTAGGGGTCAGTGGAAGGGTTGGCACGTGTCTGGGGGTTGTTGCCAGTGGAGGGGAGGGCCCCAAGGAGTATCACGGCGCGCACTGCTTCCGCCTCATCTTCCTCATCCTCACTGCCGTGTGTGTGCTGGGCGCTGCTGTGAACCTAGTCGTTGCCTCGCGCACTGCTCGGGTGTATGGGCTGATGAAGCACAGTGAGGGGGAAGGAGAGGAAGCCGATGAAGACGAGGAGAAAGATGATGGTAGGTAGGGGTCAGTGGAAGGGTTGGCACGTGTCTGGGGGTTGTTGCCAGTGGAGGGGAGGGCCCCAAGGAGTATCACGGCGCGCACTGCTTCCGCCTCATCTTCCTCATCCTCACTGCCGTGTGTGTGCTGGGCGCTGCTGTCAACCTGGTTGTTGCCTCCCGCACTGCTCGGGTGTATGGGCTGATGAAGCACAGTGAGGGGGAAGCTGAGGAGGCAGATGAACAAGAGGAGAAAGGTGATGATAGATAGGCCACTGGCTCATCTTCCTCATTCTCGCCGTTGTGTGAATGTGAAAGTGGCGCTGCTGGACGCTGCTGTCAACCTGCTCGTTGCCTCCCTCATGCACTGCGCGCGTGCATGGGCTGATGAAGCACAATGAGGGGGGAGCAGAGGAGGCTGGTGAAGATGAGGAGAAAGATGATCCCAAGCAGTTTTCGGAGGGTCTGACAGAGCAGGATATTTATATTACCTTGTTCAGGGCCTAACTAGGCTTACATATCGCACTCATGATTGAGTTGCTTGTGCTCTTGGCTTTTCACAACCCTACATGATGTTCATGAGATGGTCCAACCTTCATTCATTTTCACAGCAAATGAGCGTGTTCCTACACCTCGTATGAGCTTCGCGTGGTGAAATACGTTTCAGTGTGTTCGACTGCTGTTGGGTGCGTATTGCGGATCGACACGAATCTGATACGAGGTTGCCTGATACGAGGCCGTAGGAACACGCTCTTAAAATGTGTGGAACTTTTGCAGTGCAAATCTTTCTTGCACGGTATGATATAACAACATAACACTGATTCTTCTATCCCCTTTGAAAGCGCGAAATGAGATTTCACTCCAAGTTTATGTGCGCATGAAGTGCACGTTGTGTGGACGTACGGTATTGTGTTGTGTGCCCAATCGAGGCGTATGATGTTGACTGCACCATCCGTCATCACCACTGCTAATCAGAGAGTCTAAAAATAAAAGAAGCCCCTGGCCATCACCACGTGCATTGGAACTGCCACATGGCGACACAGTTGTTGAACTCTGACACAGGAAGGGCAGATGGGACGAAGAGGGATAAACAAGAGATGGTCAGGGGGGGATTGCTGTGAGCGAATCAGTGAAGGAAGGCTCAGATCAGAGGCTCTTCCGAATTTCAAGTGTCCGGGGTAATCAAAGCGACAGCACAATTTCACGTTGCAGCAGAGGCTCTGTGGGGCGGGGTGGAAAATCCATGTTGTGAGAATAACAGCCAGAACTTGCTTGTAACGGCAGCTAGTTAAGCCCTAGAGACCTAAGGATTGGGACCAGGTAGGGATTCAAGTGAGTCTCAAGCAAGCACTCACTGTGAAGCCGATCCGGTGTGTTGTGAGCACCTGCCACTGCAGGCTGCTTCTCAATCGCCTCAAAGCTTTCAGCGCCCCTCAAGCAAGCAAGCACTCACTGTGAAGCCGATCCGTTGCGTTGTGACCACCTGCCACTGCGGACTTAGGAGCAACGTGCCCCGCTTCAGGTGGTTCAGGTGAGCAAGTGCCGGCTTCAGGTGGGCTGGCAGGTGTGAGGGACGGCAGGTGGAACCTGCGATGGCCTGATGACGTGGCGGCTAGCGGCAGGCACGGGTGGAAGGCAAACCCGTTGACGGTATCTGGGAGTAGGTGAATATGGAAGAAAGAGGAGGAAAGGGAGTTGGCGGGGAGAGGGGGTGGACTGGAGAGCTTTGGACTGGTGAAAGACATGCAGGCTGGGGGGGACAATATCTAGCAAGGTGGGTCTGCACTGCAAGCATCTCAGTGCACCACATAGCACCGCACTGCACCACACACCAACGTTACCTTGAGCAGCTTGGAATGCTGCTATCTTGGAGCCTGTAGCGAGGTCAAACACCCACACTTGACCGTCCTGTGATTGAGACGTGGAGGGTGGGAGGTCGAAAGGGTGAGATACAGTCTGCAGGGAGAAACAATGTCAGATGATATGCCACGCCATGCTACTACTACATGCCATACCATGCCATGCCGAGTGGCATGCCGAATGCCATGCCATGGGCCATCAAGCATGCAAGTGTCATGTCGCCCATGCGCCCATGCGCCCATGCACCCATGCGCCCATGCCCCCATGCGCCCATGCACCCATGCACCGATGCACCCATGCACCCATGCACCAATGCACTCATTCACCCATGCATGGTGCACCCCTGTATGCTTGCAACTTGCTCTCATGCCCGTGCGCTCTGAACCCCTGCCATACCTCTCCCCCTGTGGCGAGGTGGCGGTTGGAGGGGTCGATGTCGAATGCAATGCGCTGATTGGTTGATGCCACACACCGATGCATGCTGCCATGGATTGGGGTGATATGGGTTGAGATAGGACGGGATGAGATGGGATGGATGGGGTGGGGGGGCATGAAATGAGTCGGTCATGGTATCATTGTGATGGGCTTGTTGGTGGATGTCACACACCTCTGCATGCTGCCATGCGATGGGATGACATGGGTGACAAGGGATGACATGGGGTGACACGGGGTGACATGGGGTGACATGGGGTGACACGGGGTGACATGGGGTGACATGGGGTGACACGGGGTGACATGGGGTGACATGGGGTGACACGGGGTGACATGGGGTGACATGGGGTGACACGGGGTGACATGGGGTGACATGGGGTGACACGGGGTGACATGGGGTGACATGGGGTGACACGGGGTGACATGGGGTGACATGGGGTGACATGGGGTGACAAGGGATGACATGGGGTGACATGGGGTGACATGGGGTGACATGGGGTGACACGGGGTGACATGGGGTGACATGGGGTGACACGGGGTGACATGGGGTGACATGGGGTGACATGGGGTGACACGGGGTGACATGGGGTGACATGGGGTGACATGGGGTGACAAGGGATGACACGGGGTGACATGGGGTGACACGGGGTGACATGGGGTGACATGGGGTGACACGGGGTGACATGGGGTGACATGGGGTGACATGGGGTGACACGGGGTGACATGGGGTGACATGGGGTGACATGGGGTGACATGGGGTGACATGGGGTGACATGGGGTGACATGGGGTGACATGGGGTGACATGGGGTGACATGGGGTGACATGGGGTGACATGGGGTGACATGGGGTGACATGGGGTGACATGGGGTGACATGGGATGACATGGGGTGACATTGGGTGACATGGGGTGACATGGGGTGACATGGGGTGACACGGGGTGACATGGGGTGACATGTGACGACATGTGATGACATGAAGTGATATGGCCTGATGTAGCATGTCCCAGCAGCTATGCCTAGACAAACAGTGCAGTGCCACGCCTTACCTGTACACAACGCCTGATGTGTTGCGCACGTCCCAGCAGTGGATGGCTGGATCCTGGAGAGAGGAATGAAAAGGCAAGAACGAGGGGGGACTAGTTGGCTTGATATAAAAAGCAGTTGTAACTTTTGAGGCGTCTCAGACCATTCACATGTGAAAATGGTTCGAAAACGCAAAGGGAACAAAGACATGAGTTGGAGGAGGCAGGGAAGGGGCTAGAGACGAGCAGAGGAAGGAACAGACAAAAGCTTTGCTGTGCTGCTATGAGTGGCAACACATTGGATGCATGCTCGGTGCATGCATGCATGGATGTATGCACACAGGCGATCTATGTAGGCCGGCTGACCTTGCGTGCACCCGAGTAGAGGAAGTTGCCATCCCGAGAGAAGAACACCTGACATGGTGGCATGGGGTGTTGTGCACACGGAGGGGTGCAGACGAGAGGGGGTGGGGGAAGGGAATGTGCGAGGGACAGAAGCAGAGCCCACAGCCAGGTCCACGCCCACAACTGCACCCACGCCCACACCCGCACCCACACCCGCGCCCACACTCCCACCAACCATCGTGACACCCCTTGTGTGCCCATGCATTAGCGCCAAGGGCTCTCTGCCCAGGACCCCCTGTGACAGCCATGCGGCTATGAAGCCCTCACCGACGCCCATCTGCCCACCTGCGTGACCCCGCCCGTGTGCTCGTGCATCACTGCCACGGCCTCCCTGCCCAGATCGCCGTACAGCCATGCAGCCCTTAGAACGTAACACTCACATACACCCACGCCCACACCCACCCACGCCCACACCCACACCCACACACCCACCTGCGTAACCCCTCCTGTGTGCCCATGCATCACCGCCATGGCCTCTCTCCCCAGGTCGCCATACAGCCCCACAGTGCCGTCGTACGAGCCCACGGCTAGCAGCCCCGGCATGAATGGGTTGGTGGCCAGACAGGACAGCAGACCTGTGATGCAGACGGGGGCAATGCGGGGATGAGAGGTCCGAGAGTTGAGGGGGGAAGTGAAAACGTGAGTCGCCATACAGCCCCACAGTGCCGTCGTACGAGCCCACGGCTATAAGGCCAGGCATGAATGGGTTGGTGGCCAGGCAGGACAGCAGAGGTGTGATGGGGACAGGGGGCGACGAGGGTTGAGGGGCTGTGAGAACATGGCTCGCATACAGCCCCACCCCACAGTGCCATCGTACCCCCCCACGCCCACAAGGCCTGGCTTGAACGGGTTGGTGGCCAGGCAGGACAGGAGGCCTGCAAGCGGATGGGAGGTGATGAGGGGCTAAAGGTGGGACGGGGTGTGCTGTGCTCTGCCGTGCTGTGCGGTGCTGTGCGGTGCTGATGGCAGTCCCGTTCCGGTAACCTCATCACAACTACTCACGTTGCAGCTACTCCCAGAACCCACTTCACCATCCAACACCCACCCCATCCCTACTTAGGCGCCCCTATCCCCTTTTCCAACTGTCTGACCGCTCCCCTTGGTGCTGTGCAGTTGGCAGTCCCGCTCATATATGCTCCCAACCAACCACTCGCATCACATAGCATCTATTTCAAAAGGCAATTCTATATCTATTCCCCCACCATACCTGTCTGACCCCGCCCCTTGGCGCCCGTGCTGTGCTGCTGGCAGTCGCGCCCCGGCACGCTCGTGTCAAACACCCTCAGGCAGCGCGGGAATCCCAGGATCAGCCTTGGAGGGAAGGCCAAGGGAGGGGGGCATAGGAGGGGGCGGAAGGTTAAAGGCAGGGCAGAGCAGAGCAGAGCAGGGAAGGGAAGGGTGGGGCAGTCGCGCCCTTGTATGCTCGTATCAAACACTCTCGACAGCGCGGAAAGCCAAGAATCGGCCGGGGGGGAATTCGAGGGCAGGGGGAGGGAGAGAAGATTTAAGGAACGGCACGGCAGGATAGGGTGGCGCAGGGCATGGCAGTCGCGGCCCGGAATGCTTGTGTCAAACACTCTCAGACAGTGTTGAAATGGAAGCGATTTTTTAGGCGCCTCAAGAGTGTCAAATACTCTGAGACGGTGTTGGAGAGCAAAGTGGTGGAATGCTATCGAGTGGATAAGGAGGGATGCAAAATGCAGGAAGGCAAACACCTACCTCCACTCATTTCCTCATTCACTCACTCACTCAATCTCTAAAGCACTTCGTTCGTACCCTCTCTTCCTTACACACACCTTCGCTCACACCCTCGCTCCCTCCCCCCCTCACTACCTCTCCCTCCCTCCCTCCCTCCCTCCCTCACTCACTCACTCACCCCCCTCACTCACTCACCACTCACTTGTCTCCGTGAGCAGAGAAGGTGAGAGAGAGCGCAGCAGCGATCTCATCCATGTGGTCATATGCTCGGTATGTGCAGCGCAGCTGGGGGATGGGGGTGTGGGACATGAGTGTGAGACATGATAACATTAAGGAGAAGGAAGTTGGGGCGAGGGCAGCAGCGTTCGCCTCCATGTGGTTGTATGCTCGGTACGAGCAGCGCAGCTGGATGGGACATGTGTGTGAGCCAGCCATGTGTGTAAAACATAAAAGAAGCGAGCAATAGTAATTGTAGAGATGTGGTGAAAGCAATCTCGTCCATGTGGTCGTATGCTCGGTATGTGCAACGCAGCTGGATGGGACATGTGTAATGTGTGGCGGGATATGTGAGTGGGGCATGATCAAAGGAGGAGAGAAAGGTTGGGTAGAGAGGAAAGAAGCGGTGATCTCATCCAAGTGATCACATGCACAGTATGTGCAGCGCAGCGGGAGTGGTGGGGAGGGGCGGGGAGGAATGCAACTCGGTACATTCACTAGAGCTGTCTGTATGCATGCATGCATGCATGCATGGCGATTTCGTGCATGTGATCGTATACTCAGTACGTGCAGCGCAGCTGGATGAGACATGGGAGCTGCAGAGAGGGACATGCCAGGAGGAGGAAAGGGACGCTGGAGAGAGGGCAGGGCAGCAGCAATATCTCGTCCATCTAGCAATGACACCTTGCACACCACCTGCCCCATCACCTGAGCACACCACCTGCCGTTCCACCTGAGCACACACCTGGCCGGTCATGGCATCCCACAGGTGCACGGGGTGGTCCCTTGATGTTGATGCAAACACACATGACACGGGATCTGCACGTGATGACGTGGCAGTGTGAGAAGCAGGGAGTCGTGGCAGTGTTACCGCGGATACACACGACACTGGGTGATTGGGTCTGTGCGGTAGTGTGTGTGGGGCATGGGATGGTGTGTGGACACATGGCAAGACAATGACGTGTAGTGGCCATACATGCTGCAAATAGGTTTTCAACGTACATACCAGCTGCTGACATGGCATACCAGCTGCTGACATGGCATACCAGCTGCTGACATGGCAGGGAACCATGCGAAGTCATAGATGCTCTCCCCCTCCCTGACCGTGACTGCCGATGAAAGGGAATCTGACAGGGGGAGAGCAGGGGGTGGGCGACATACATTTGTGAAGGGGGGCCCCGAGGGTAAGGGGATGGGGAGGAGCGGAAGACCAAGGAGGGACAGTGGGGGGAAGAATCATGTCTTGATGACGTCAGCATGTGCAGTGCAGTGCATTTGAGTGAATGGGATGCATGCATATGATTTGACGGAAGGGATGCATGAGCATTGAGCATACCTTGGTTGGGGAGTGTGGCCTCATTGTCCATGTCAAAAGGGGCAGATGACGCCAGCATGATGTCAGCAGGCCTGAGGGACACGTCAGCAGGAAGCAGAGAGCAACCACCCGGAACCGCAGCAAAAAACGAGTGAATGGGGAGAGGGAAAGGACAGAAGACTGAGAGGTACGACACAGTAGGCCGGGTCAAAACAGCTGGTCGCTATTGTCTTGTCTATGCTCAAACTCCTGAAATTAACACGATAGAGGGCGTATTTCGGGTTTGGGTCATGGGCACTGTTCCGGGCATGCGCCAATTGCGGATGCCCAGAACAACACGCAACACCATCCTCGAGTAATGCGCCCCATGCGACAGTTTGTCTGGCGCGCAAAACTGCGTGCCAGAAAAAAAAGTGGTAACACACGTCGCGTCCAATTGGGCCGAGTCGTACATGTACAAACACGAACAACCACCAGCCGTGAGGCCGACTGACCCATCCCACGCCACCGTCAAAATTCCCGGCGGGAAGGGTCACAATCAGATCTGCGCGGCTCCAAAACCCATCCAAACCCATCGTCCCAACAGCAGCTTCCCCACTCCAGGGTTTCAGCATGCCACAAAATCACAAGCAATACAAACAACCAGATCTGTGAGACACACACACAGCCGACGAGCACCAAGAGACACAAAACCCAGTCCGCCCACGTACTGATAGAGCTGCCATGCCGCCACGCCGTAGCACCCGTGGCAAGGGAAAGGAGAAAGCATCTGACGATGAGCCGATGGCGGACCCTCCTTATGTCGTATGGTTAAAGGAGCAGAAGAAACAGGGGAAGTCGCCCCCCTCCATCAAACGTTTATCCAAGTCAAAGCGTGACTCTGCTGGCGCGTCTACCAGCGGAGCGTCACGGCTTGCTTACGAAGATGGCGCCGATACCGACGTCAGCGATGACGACCTTGAAGAGATCGTCTCGGAATCGGAAAGCGACGCCGACTCCGATAACGACAAGGACGCCACGGACGATGAGGAGGAAGAGTCCGACGGCGAAGGGAGTGGCGACGATCGCAGCACACGAGCGTCGAAGAAGGAGAAGCGACCTAAACCGTCGAGCAACAAGAGGAAGTGGTCGGATGCGGAGCTGACGACCCTCGCAGCCGCCAAGTGGACTACAAAGGACGATCTCAAAGCGATGCAGGGCAAGCAAGGAAGCCAGTATTGCAGGAAGCTGCACGCCCACATAGTCGAAGGGGAACCGGGGTGGAACCGCGACGAGGGGCAGATGTCTAATGCGTGGAAACGCCTCGAGAAGCAATACTTCAAGACGAAGCGTGGCGAGTCGTCGAGCGGTGGCAAAGCCGTGAAGAAAAAGCCGTGGTGGGAGTACGTGTACAACCTGAAAAAACACTCGGCCAAGGCTAAGGCCCACGCCTTGGACGGGGGTGGCGCCGCCAACGTCGACGTCAAGGCGTACGCCCCGGTGCCCGGCACCAATGACCGGGAGACTTCGGTTCCGCCGGCCCAGGCGCAACCGCGTGTACCTCGTCGCCGCGAAACTAACATAGGTCAGTGCTCAGCAACCATTTTCACGCCTAAAAAAATCATGCCAGAGTTAGATGTATAATCGGGCCTTGCGGTCAACATGTTGAAGGCGCGGCCAGTATTGCTGTGTGTTTCTTATACATCACACGCTCCCTGAGTCTTGTTCTTATAGATAGATTTCATTGACACACTCCCCGTAGTACATGGAAACAACAATCAGCAAAGCCGCCTTATGACCGATACACCCTACTCCCACCCCTACAGATGCGGCAATCACCCCTCCACCGAAACGACGGCGGGTACAGGAGACCGCTACAATGGCGGCAGCTAAGTTGGTGAACGACGCGATCAACTCCACCAACGTGAACGTGGTGCGCCAGCTCCAGGACTCAACGCAAGTTCTTGTCGCCGCGATGAACATGGCGGCGCTGCAGGCAGGCTTGCGCCTGCAGATGGTCGCCCCGCAAGCTCCTCAAGATGCGCCTGCCACCACTCCACCGCCAGAGCCGACGGCGGAGGAAGGAGACGCCACCATGGCCGGGTCAGAGGAGGCGGGCGAGCAGCCAGCGCCTTAGCGCTGAGACTTCGGCACACGGCGACGCCTGAGGTAAGCCCTGTGGATGTGCTTGCCGAAGTGGCGGCGTCTGGCGCGCAGCTCGGTAAGAGTCGGGTTGTCCAGGCTCTCCCATTGGTAGCGATCCATGCCGCTCCTCGTCCACCAGCCATTCGGTATCCCCGCCCATATGATGCGGCGGGGGTTGAACGTCCTCATCCTTGGTGTGCTGACCACCTGCAACATGTTGTGCAGGATGATGATGCAGGCGGTGCCTCCACACACGCGCCATAGCTTGCTCTCGTGCCTGCGGGAGAAGAGCCTCCATCGACCTTTAAGTGCGCCGATCGTGCGCTCAACCACCATCCGCGTCGCCGACTGGACGTGTTGAACGTGTTCTCCCACTTCTTCATGAGGCGGCGGCGGGGAGCATGGAGGGGGGTTAGCATGTAGCTCTTCAGTGGATATGCCGCGTCCCCAACCAGCTGATAGGGGGCGATTTCCCCACTTTCTAGCCTGCCATGGAGCTCAGAGGTAGAGAAAACTCCCTGATCATGCATGGACCCGGGATTGCCCACAGTGTAGTCCCAAATGATGCCTTTAGAGTCACATGTAACCTGTAGCTGAACACTGTAGACAGATTTGCGATTGTAGTAGTCGCTGCGGTGAGCATCCAGGCCTCGTATCTCGATGTGTGTGCCGTCGATCGCTCCGATCACGTTGGGCACACCTTTGACGGCGCGAAAGTCCAGCGCCATCTCCTCACGCACCTCTTCAGCAGGGAACTGAACCCAGTCGCGCTTGAATTTGCGGGGGAACCAGACCAAAAAGCAGTCTACAATGCGATGGATGAGACCCTTGGGCAAGCCAAAATACTTTATGGGGATTAGGCAACAGAGTGATAATGGGACTTGGTTGAACTCGACGAAGCGGGACATGGGGTGCGCCATCTTTTCCGCGATGAGGTCGAGCACCTCCCGCGTGATACGGAAGGTGTCTTCGAATTCCTCGTCAAACATGGCGCGGATTTCCTCCACCCACTCCGCCACACGTGCCTCTTGTCGGCGTTCCCGACTTTCTCGGCGCGCAGTCTCACGGCGCTGACGCTCCTCATCCTCTGCTTGGGCCATCGGTAGGAGAGTGGTAATCCACTCAAGAGCGGCGAGGGATACTACACGCTGCCAGGTGTTGAGAAGGTACTCATGCCAGAGGTGCAATGCCACACATAGGATGAGTACCTGTGGGGTAAGCATGGTTTATGGCCACGGTGCGTAAGGCTGCGAGGGTTTCTGGCGGCCCTTTAGAGATGGTCTGATCCGAAGACTTGGCTGCATCCTTGCTGGCAGAGCTGGCGACACGAGCGTGGCGACGGCCGTGCTTGTATACAGGGCGGCCAGTGTGTATCTGCGTGCGGTGTGCTTGACGGGCTTCTGGATGTTGTGATTGTTTGGGCGTGGAGTAGTTGGGCTTTTTTGCAAGATTGTGGTGTACTTGCCACATTGACGGCCGTGCACCCCGCGCGAACGGCAGCATACAGAGGGGTTGCTTTACATGGGGTCGCACAGCACTGTGATTGGTGGAGGTATCATTTTGTTTGACGGTCGCATGCAATTTTGAGCATGACCCGAAGTTCGAATCGCGCGCGCTTTGGGGAGGGGGTTTGGGTCATGCGCTAATTGCGGATGCCCTGTACAGTAGTATGAACAGTGCTCATGACCCAAACCCAAGATACGCCCAGAGTGAATTTGATCTACATGAAAGAGAAGAAGTATGTGAGGGGCTAGACTAGTAGTGCACAAGATGGCATGGCATGGCACGTACAGGTCAAAGAGGCGCAGGCAGCAATCCTCGCTGGCAGCCAATAGACACGTGCCATCTGGCGACCTGCCATGGCATGGCATGCAAAGCACACAGCAGGAGGACCAAAGGTCGGTTGCGGCATGAAGGAAACTAACCGCATTGTGAAGGGGCATGCAGCAATGGTCACAACGCAAGATATGGATAATGGACCAGTCTTTGTCATAGACCGGAGTAACAGAGTTGGGAGTATGGCAATAACAGGGTATGAAAAGCAAAGCTTAAGCGGAACCAGACACAGGCAACCTCGGCTAGGGAAGTCTTAGAAACAACTACCACCTCTCACCACTTCACGCCCTTGAGAAAGTTCCCAGAAGGGTCCAATTGGCGTCGGCTCCGCACCACAGGCTCAAACCCCGCCTTCCGCTTCCTGCCTGCTGCACTACCCTCCGCGCATCCCTGCCCTCCCCCTCTTCCGCTTGCCACGTCATCCCCCACGTCGGCGGCCGCGTCAGCGCGGAAGCACTGCCAGATCAGCGCGCGGCAGGCGGGAGCCGGCTGTGAGAACTGAAGCAGCGGCCAATCCGCAACTGCAGGCGTCTCTCCCGCTCCTTCCATCCCCTCCGCCTTTCCTGTCGCATCCTCCGCCCTCTCTCGTGCTTCTTCCGCCCCCTCCCCTTCGCCTCTTTCCGCCCCTTCCCTTACGTCTGTCATCGCAGCTTCTCCTCCTAGTCTCTCACCCACTTCGCATCCCACCTCCCCTTCGGCTGCTCCTTCCCTTCTTTCCCTTCCTTCCGCTCCTTCCGCTCCTTCCGCTCGTCCTGCTTCAAGCATTCCCCCCTCAACACCAGGAGTAGGCTCCTCCTCAATCGCTCCCATCCTAGGTAGTAGGTCGCTTGGCGCGATCTGATTAGCGTTTACACTGGATCGTCAGAATCGATAAATACCAAAACGTGTAATAGGCAGCGTTGGGTTGAGACAGAAGCACCAGCAGAAACCTCCAGCAGCAGGTTCAGGAGTGGGCAACGGCGACGGCGTGCAAAAGTGCGCTGCGCATTGCCCTTCCTGCCAAAATTTTGCGGGTAGTCTATCTTTTGACTAAGAAGTATACTCGCAAAATAATCGCACAAGCTTGCATAAGGGCGCACGCTTCCTGACGGTAATCGCGGCGCTAGGAAACCACGGATCGCGCTTTTCTTATTGTGGTGCTTGTGGACGAGTTCTATCGCGTACAAAATCGGCTTCGTTTTTTACTGTAAAGACCTTAATTTGTTGACTAAGGAAACTGTCAATTCAGTTATCTTTGGCCTACACGCGCCTTTTGTTTTCCAGCCGAATCTATTTTGTCATGTGATTGAACCGAGTTACACTTACAACGCGGATAAGTGACCCTCTGCTTCCTCACGCCCTCTCCCCCGGCACCTTTCCCTTCCCCGTTTGCCGTCCTATGCTCGAATTGTGTGGAGAACGGACCGTTCGTGCGAAATCGAGTAACCGATCGCAAGCTCGCCTCATAGCGAAATTGAGTCTTTTCGAAGCGAGTAGATACGACGCTTTTCGTCGTGGTTCCAAGGTGCGGCTCATAGCACTTGAAAGCAGCGAAGTTGTCGCAGACCCATCGCTTGGAGCTGCGTTCCTTAGCGGAATTCCTTCTCCTTAGTTGATGTGTGGTAACGGATTCCAGCAGGCGGGAGAGCGCAATGCAGCTTGAGCTGAGACGAAACATACTGACGAGTGATGATTGATGGACAGAAATCTGCCGGCGAACCACGGTAACCACCTTCGCCAGCGTCGCTCGATAAGCGATTCCAAAAATTTGGGAAATACCCCGCGTGAATCGCGGATTTCCGAGCAGTCGAATAGTGGAAGACCGAGTGGCTTCAGTCGCGGGAGCGTCAACATGGTGAGTGTCGCACAAGAGTTGATTATTCGAGAGTTGGTTTCGTATATGAAAGATCGTCCAGACTTCGTTTATCGTACAAGGTCTTTATATGAGGCCTCTCTTCGCCCTTGGTCTTTTCGTTCTAGTATCCAAGTCGCTTTATTGTCTTCTAAGCATTGTTTCGTTCCCGTTTTTCTTCCCTCCCCGTTCTCCTCACCGCTGTTCTCCAATCCTCCACTGGTCTCCCCATCGCTAGGGTTTCAACGAGGAGCAGCCAATGAGCGGCCAAGGCCAATGCTCGGATCACGCTCTTCTGCTTGGCCCCTCCACCACCTCCGCTTCCTCCTCCCATCCCCCACTTCCCACGCCATATCCTTCTGCTGCTGCTGCTCCTGCTGGTCCTAATGGTGCCGCTGCTGCTCCCCCTCCGCCTTTCCCCTTCCCCCCGCCTGTCTCCCCCTCCGCGCCGTTCTTCCAAATGCCTCCCCCCGCGCCTTCGTTCCTCCCGTTCTCCCTCTCCCTCCCATTCGCCGCCCTCCTCTCTCCCGCGCACCAAATCGGCGTTCCGCTGCCGGCCAGCGCACCGTTTCCCCCACAGCCCTACTCACCGCAGTCCCCCACCCCACTCATTGGCTCTGAAGTCGACGCAGCAGTTGCCGCCGCAGCAGCAGCAGCAGCTGCGGCAGCAGGGGGGGCAGCAGCAGCAGCAGGGGGAGCAGCAATGGGGACGCCAGTGGGAGCGTTCCCAGGTCTCGCCCAGCCCATGGGCACGCGAGTACTCTTCTCCCGCTCGCCCACGCTCCTCCACTTCACCATCCCTCCGCAGCACTTCTCCCTCAAAGCGCTTCCCGAAATCATATTCGCCCTGGTGAGCTTCACCCTGTCAAGCCCTCTCTTTGTGTCGACTCATAAAGCGCTTTACCCCTTGTGATGAGTCGATTTTTGAGTCGACTAAAAAATGGAATTATCTTTGCCCTGGTGAGCTTCACCCTGTCAAGCCCTCCGCCCTATATCCATCTGCTTTGCTTCGCTTCTTTCAAATTTTTACGTGCCGTTGGTTTCCCTTCGTTTCTTTTGAGTCGATTCAACAATAAAGTACCTATATCACTTCAAGTGCTATTCAGAAGTGACATGAATTAGGCAAAACCATGTCAGCGGTACTGTCTGTGTGCATGCTGTAACAGAGCAGTGTTCGCTCAAGCCCACTCCAGTTCGCTCAAGGCCACTCCATTTTGCAACAGTGATGGATGGCTGTCTCTCTTCTGCAAGTGTCCTGGCTGTTCAATGGGACCTTGTCTTACCGTACATGCCAACACCACTTTCGTGACATTTTTTTCTCGCAGTGGTTCTAGATTGACCTTCATAGGAAATTAGGGCGCGTGTCTTTTGGATTTTACTGCAAAGTTCATGTTTTCTAGTCGATTTATTACGTTTGAACCTAGGTCGACCTGTACTCGAGTATCTCAAGTTTTGGGTCCCGAGTCGCGATTTTTTCTCCCAAAAATCACATGGCACATCAAAGTTCGACTTCAGAAGTTCGACTTTATACAGTAAAACCCGAGTCGCGCCCCAGTTTCGTAGGTTACCCGATTTGAAAACGTAGCTCGTAAACTAATCCGGATGAAGTAACGAGGTACGATGTCGTTCGTTACTATCGCGAATGTCGCAGATTCACTGTGCATGAAAAGAAGAACACACGTTTGGCTAAACGGGCACGTGAAAATTCGACCCCAGTTCATTGTCCCTCTGTTTCATCAATCTTTAAACTTGGAAACACGATTATCGCAAACAGCTTTCAACGAAATTAACGAAGCCGGTTACCACCAAAAGGTCGACCTTAATTTTGAACCTCTACACCAAAAGACACGCGCCCTTACATATCAGACCCATTTTCTATTTTCTGCATATATGCCTCTTCATCATGCACACTGTACCCCTCTATCAGCTGCTTATTCACGCTATGCATCTTCTCTCTCGTTGTCTTGGACAGTTTCCACGGGTCTCTCCGACTCCCACCTTTTTTACCCCTCGCATGCACCAACGGAGCATCTCTCAACCTAGCCCCTTTCCTCTCCCAGTAGAACGTTGTATCGACAATGCAATATAATCCCAATGATGGGGAGTTGCGTTTCAGGTTTGCCAGGGTCTGTCCATCAGACCCTTCACTTGGAAAGAAGATGGCTTGCAAGTTTGGGGCGTTGATGGAAGCAGGGCTCATCAGCGTGTTCAAACGATAAACCTCCTCCACAGAAGTCTCCCGATCCTTTTCAATCTCCCAACCCTCATCGTCCACTTCCCTGTACTGCACGACAATCCCAAGGCTGCGCAGGCTATGCCACTCCACATCCATTTCAGCGAAAGGGACCTCATGCTCTGCTATAAGCACCTCTACTGTAGGAGCAACCTTGCAGAGCCAGCCCTTCCACGAAAGCTCCGAGCTGGCACTGGGATTGACCTGTGAAGGTGGTACAGTGGAGAGTTCTTCAAGGGAATGGTATTCAGCATATCTTGGAGGAGGATTCAAGTAGACAAACCTGGCGGATGCGAAGCAGAGGAGGGAGGCTTGGAGTTTGGAACGGGCATAAAGGATGAGCTGGTGGAGAGCGAGAGGGCTGTCTGACTGACAGGTGAGGTCAACAAAGCGAGCCATGACAGACAGGGTTGTGAGGGAGGGTGGGAGGTTGAGAGTTAAGACGAGTTTCGTTGACAGGAAGAGGAAACGGAGAATGCGTGCATTGGAGAAACTGAAAGTGTGGCGGATGGTGCCAAAGTGGAAGCGGGGGACCTCGTAGAGAGTGAATTCGGTAAGCTGCGGCGTGATGGCGTCCAGAAACTGTGAGAAAACTAGCCAAGGATGATGTGATTAGGTCATGGTTGGGGTACATAGCAAAAGTGTCGAGATGATTTCTGTACCCCCTAAGGCTAGCCCCAATATAGCCTAGATAACAACATGCATATGTTTTGACACACCCCCATAGGCAAGATGGGGGATAGCCAGAGCAAGCATAGGTCACAAGACCAGTCAAGAGAAGAAACAAAACACAGCTCAGGGTGGATCACAAAGTCACCACACACACTGAGCACAAGCAAGAGGCCACAAGGCCAGTTCACATGCAGAGTTATAAAAGCACAAGCAATACAGTGATCACAACCTAGCAGGTGTAAACATGCAGGTATATATATATATATATATATCACAGTACAAGCAAGGTCAGGAAGTGAGCAAGTGAGGCCAAGTGGGCACGAGACCTAGCATCGTACAGAAGCGCTGATGATCACAAGGCCTACGTGCCTTGGTGAAGATATCAGCAGTGTTGGCCCGAGTGGCCACGTAAGCAAGGCGCAGCTGACCACGCTGCTGCAGCTCACGAGCAAGGAAGTAGCGAAGAGCAATGTGCTTCGTTCTGTGCTCCAGTCTGTGCTCCTGACACAAGGCCAGCATGGCCTTGTTGTCTACGTACAGAACTGGAGGAGAACGAGGCGGCTCTCCCAGGTCAGTCAGCAGGTAGGTCAGCCAGCGTAACTCCTGAGCAGCCATGGCTCCTGCGTAGATCTCAGCCTCACAGCTAGAGCTGAGAACAGACGACGAGCGGGTAGACCGCCACGAAACAGAGCCGGAGCCAAGGCTGAAGGTGTAACCCTGTGACGACCGCTGCGTAGCCAGGTCGTCGACCCAAGACGCGTCTGCGTGACCAGTGAGGACTACTCGACTCCGCTTTCCAAGCACGAGCCCTATGCCCGACGTACTGCACAAGTAGCGCAACACCCTCTTCGCTGCAGCCATGTGCTCTGGTCGGTGTCTCCCAGGAGCAACATAGCGTGCCAGGATGCTAAGAGGGTAGGCCAGGTCAGGTCGTGTGCAGGTCATCAGGTACATGAGGCAGCCAACAAGCTCTGGGTACGGGCCACTCGGCTCTACGGACTCATCCGAAGGCAGAGCTGAGAGCGAGTGGCGAGTAGACAGAGGAGTGGCCTGAGGCGAGGAGTACGTGAAGTCGAAGCGCTGAAGGATCTGCTGCACCATGTGTGACTGAGTCAGGGTAATGGTGCGCCGTGCTCTGTCCCGAGTGATCTGCAAGCCAAGATAGCTGCGCAGTTCACCCAGGTCTGTGCACGTGTGTCTCTTCTGCAGCTCGGACTTCACGTGGGCGAGTCCAGCAGTGTCAGCTGTAGCGAAGACCAAGTCGTCGACGTACACGAGGATGTAGAACGGCAGCAAAGAGGTGTCGGTGCGCAGAAACAGTGACGGGTCTGCAGTAGAAGGAGCAAACCCAAGAGCCGCAAGCGTAGTCCTCAGTGTGTCGTGCCACTCACGCGGCGCCTGGCGGAGACCGTAGACTGGCCGCCGGAGGCTCCACTGGGTGCTAGGAGGAAAAGTCCCAGTGAAGCCAGGTGGGCGGCGCAGCCAGATCTCCTCGTGCAGGCTGCCCTGTAGGAAAGCTGTGCTGAAGTCCAGAGAGTGAAGCTCGTAGTCACAGTGAGCGGCTATGTGTAGGAGCACTCGAAGAGTGGTCATCTTCGGGGTGGGAGAGAAGGTCTGAAAGTAGTCAACTCCCTGCCGCTGACTGAAGCCTCGAGCTACGTAACGCGCCTTGAAGACAGGCGGAGAACCCGGCGGCCGCTTCACCCTGAAAATCCACATGCCACTGACAATGTTCGCCCCAGGTGGGGGAACCTCGTCAACGTAGGTGCCTGTGGACTTCCAGGAAGCCATCTCTGCGTCCATGGCTGCCTGCCACTGAGAGGAGTAGGGACCCTCTATCGCCTCCGCGTAAGAGCGCGGAGTCGGGATGTCTGGTGCATCCGGGTCTCCCTCAGGGGCAAGCAGCGAGGACACAAGATGA